AAATACTCAGATGCATTGCTAACTCTTACCTCAATGCCGGTGAGCTGGAGAAATGCTTGAAAAAGTAATTTCAGGTTCTAAAAAAGTATTGTCTTTTTTTTTTAATCTAGCAGAAGCTAGAACCCTATTATTATTCTAAGAGTACATTTTCTATTTCTATCTAATTCATTTTCTTGAGAGATGAAACTGCCTTTTTTTTTTTTATTCAGACAGGGTTTCACTCTGTCACCCAGGATGATGGAGTGCTGTGGCATGATCACAGCCTCCTAGGCTCAAGTGATTCTTTCTCCCGAGTAGCTGGAACCACAGATACACACCACCATGCCCAACTAATTTTTTTGCATTTTTTGTAGAAGCGGGGTTTTGCCATGTTGCCCAGGTTGGTCTCGAAGTCCTGTGCTCAAGCGATTCGCTCACCTCGGCTTCCCAAAGTGTTGGGATTACAGGCATGAGCCACTGTTCCTGGCTCCCTCATTATTATATTTCCTGAAATTGAGATGATTTGGGCCCTTAGAAATTGTGATCACACAATTTTAGAAGCAAAGGTAGAAAAATCCATTTTTATTGGCAACTTTGAGCTGTGTTTTATCCTGGCAAATATTTAAAAGCAGTACACTTGGACCTGGCTCACATTCCTGCACACCTCAAGCAGCTGGTACAGACGGCCCAAGAAAAAATGAGGAGGAAAGTGCCCCACCAAGGAAGAGGGCTGAGGTAGGAGCATAATGCACACACTAAGAACTGAGTTCTAAATTCACTTGAGTTTTCTGGAGCTCTGTTGCCTATAAAACAAGGAAGAGGGCCGGGCGCGGTGGCTCACGCCTGTAATCCCAGCACTTTGGGAGGCCAAGGTGGGTGGATCACGAGGTCAAGAGATTGAGACCATCCTGGTCAACATGGTGAAACCCCGTCTCTACTAAAAATACAAAAAAATAAGCTGGGCCTGGTGGCGCGTGCCTGTAATCCCAGCTACTCGGGAGGCTGAGGCAGGAGAATTGCCTGAACCCAGGAGGCGGAGGTTGCGGTGAGCCGAGATCGCGCCATTGTACTCCAGCCTGGGTAACAAGAGCGAAACTCCATCTCAAAAAAAAAAAAACACAAAAAACAAGGAAGAATGAATGGTCTTTATGGAGAATGAATGGCAGAATAAGTGATTTGTCAAGCTCATTGAACTATAAGTTCCATTTTTACTGTCATTTATTTATAACAAAGTTCAGATATAAAGACAAATCTGAGCATACAGTAGGCACAGATAAGCCTATAGCAAATATTCACACATGGTTTGAATGCATTTATTAATCTTTGTGCTTATTAGTATTAATGACAATACTAAAATGATTTGGAGAATTAATGATTAATAACAGTGAGAAATAGCCTTCCTATTATTGACAAATAAATATTACTTGACAATATTAAGTATTTGTTGAAAAACGAAATGTTGTAAAGAAGCAAGGATGTCTGGGTGTGGTGGAGAATGCCTGTAGTCCAGGCTACTTGGGAGACTGAAGTGGGAGGATTACTTGAGCCTGGAGGATTGCAGTGAGCCAAGATTGCACCACTGCACTCCAGCCTGGGTGACAGAGTGAGACCCTCTCAAAAGAAAAAAAAAAAAAGGAAAAGGAGGGAGAAAGAAAGTTTACTTTGATATGTCATATGATTAAAACAAATGTTCTTGGGTACATGTGCAGATCATGCAGGATTGTTGCATAGGTACATACATGGCAATGTGGTTTGCTGCCTCCATCCCCTCATCACCTATATCTGGCATTTTTCCCTCTGTTATCTCTCCCAAACCTCCCCACCTCACTGCTGTTCCTCCCCTGCCCCCCAACAGACCCCAGTGTGTGATGCTCCCCTCCCTGTGTGCACATATACCACAGAACATAAAGTACCATAAAAAAATAGAACACCCCGAGCAATCCAAAGACACAGTGCAATCCCTGTCAAAATAATGACATTCTTTACAGAAATAGAAAAGAAATCTTAAAAACAAAAATGCTCTTTTTTCAAAGACAAGGATTATACTCCTTTGCATTCCAGCTACACTAGGGTCCATTGTAACTTGGCAACTTTTGCCTTGAAAACAAAAAGAATCCCTGAATATAATCTCCTTCCTTATAATGTTTTAATAAGATGCCAGTATGGTAATAGGTCCATTAGCGGTAAGTACAGGCACGTCGTTATTTTATTATACTTCTCAGACACTGCAGTTTTTACAAATTGTAGGTTTGTGGCAACCCTGCATCAAGGAAGTCTGTTGATACCATTTTTGCCATAGCATGTATTCCATGTCTCTGGGTCACATTTTGGTAATTCTTGTAATATTTCATACCGATTCATTATTATATCTGTTATTAAAACCTGTAGTGAATGATCTTTGATGTTACTATTATAATTACTTCAGGGCACCACAAACCACAGATATAACATACTTCTTATAAACTTAACAAATGTTGTGTATGTTCTCATTGCTCCAGTCACAACCATTTTTCCATCTTTCTCCTCAGGCCTCCTTAGTCCCTCAGACACAGTATTGAAACTAGACCAATTAATAACCCTAAAATAACGTACAAGTATTCAAGTGAAAGGAAGACTTGCACATCTTTCACTTTAAATCAAAAGCTAAAAATGAATAAGCTTAGTGAGGAAGGTGTGTGGAAAGCTGAGACAGGATGAAAGCTAAATGTCTTATGCCAAACAACCAAATTGTAAATGCAAAGGAAAAGTTTTTGAAGGAAGTTACAAGTGCTACTTCAGTGAACACATGAATGGTAAGAAAGTAAAACAGCCTTATTGCTGATATGGAGAAACTTTGAGTCATCTGAATAGAAGATCAAACTAGCCACAAAATTCCCTCAAGCCAAAGCCTAATTCAGAGCAAAGCTCTAACTCTCTTCAATTCTATGAAGAGAGGTAAGGAAGCTTCAGAAAAAAAGTCTGAAGCTAGCAAAGTCTGGTTCATGAGTTTTAAGAAAAGAAGCCTTGTCCATCCATAAAAGTGCACAGTAAAGCAGCGAATGTTGATGTAGAAGCTGCATAAGTTATCCAGAAGATCTAGCTCAGATAATGAATGAAGGTGACTACACTAAACAGATTTTCAAAGGAGGTGAAACAGCCTTACATTGGAAACAGATGCCATCTCAGACTTACATACCAGAGAGGAGTAGTCAGTGCCTCACTTCAGAGCTTCAAAGGATAGGCTTACTCTCTCTTGTTAAAGGTTAATGCAGCTGGTTAAGTTGAAATCAATGCTCATTTACCATTCCCCCAAACGTAGGACTTTTCAGAATTATGCTAAGTCTGCTCTGCCTTTGCTCTACAAATGGAACAGCAAAGCCTGAATGACAGCATGTCTATGGGCAGCCTGGTTTACTGGATATTTTAAGCCCCCCTTTTTGAGTCTTACTGCTCAGAAAAAAAGACTAAAAATACTGCTGTTCAGGGTAGGCACAGTGGCTCACACCTGTAATCCCAGCACCTTGGAAGGCCAAGGCAGGCACATCACCTGAGTTCAAGACCAGCCTGCCTAACATGGTGAAACCCCATCTCTATTAAAAATACAAAAATTAGCTGGTCGTAGTGGTGGGCACCTGTAATCCCAGCTACTCAGGAGGCTGAGGCAGGAGAATCGCTTGAACCCAGGAGGCGGGGGTTGCAGTGAGCCGAGATGGTGCCATTGTACTCCAGCCTGGGCGACAGAGCGAGACTCTGTCTCAAAAAAAAAAAAAAATATATATATATATATATATATATACATAACATGTGTATATATATATATATATATAGTATGTATATATGCTTAATATATATTTTGTATATAAAACATAAATTATATATATCATATAGAGGTTAATGCAGCTGGTGACTTTAAGTTGAAATCAATGCTCATTTACCATTCCCCTAAATCCTAGGACTTTTCAGAATTATGCTAAATCTACTCTGCCTGTGCTCTATAAATGGAACAACAAAGCCTGAATGAATTATATATATACATTATATAATATATATCATTTGTAATTTACATATGCATATATAATTATATATAATTTATGCATACAAAATTCTTTGCTGTCTTATTTTAAGAAATTGCCACAGTCACCCCAAACTTCAGTAACCACCACCCTGATCATTCAGTAGCCATCAACATGAAAGCAAAAAGATTATGATCATTAGCAGTTTTTAGCAATGGAGTGTTTTTAAAATAAATACATACCTTTTTTAGATGTAAAGCTATGGCACACTTAATATATTACAATAGAGTGTAAACATAACTTTCCTATGCACTGAGAAACCAAAAAGTTTATGTGACTCACTATCACGATAGCCACTCTGTTATGGTTGTCTGGAACTGATCCTGTGATATCTCCAAGGTGTGTCTGTGCTGTACAGTGGGTAAAGTATGAGGGGTCTAGATTTTTCATGCCAGAAATTCCACAGCAGCCTTCTAGAACTCTGGAAGTATGTCTGGCTGCAGTGCCAGATTCTGGTGAGGATTTCGTGGACCCTGATTTATATATGAAAAAACACTAAAGATAACAGAAACAGGGCAGAAAGTGGCTATAACAAAGCTGGCTTGGTACTTTCTTTGGTTTTTGTGGCCAATATCACTGGAGTCCTGTCGTATCAAGTTTCATAAAAGAAACTCACTCATACAAAGCAGAGCTATTAATTATTTTCAGACTGGCATTTCAAAAAGTGTTAATTTTAATGTGTTAAAAGTTATTTGTTCTTTGTTTTATCTTTTCAGATGTTTTCTGGAAAGATTTGTGGCATGATCTTTAATTTTAACAGTTTTCCCTTACCAATTAACACAAAAGTAAGGAAAAGAGGTATAAATACATATTTTATAGAATTTTATATACCAAATAAGCTCCTTTACATAAGAAAAGGAAAATAATACCCATTTTCAGTACCATCATTTAGCCCTAGGGCCCCTCCAGCTAGAAAAGCATTACTTTTAAATGTCTTTATGATTTAAGGTTTCAATAACAACTCATGAATAGGTGAAAGTTTGCTATTTATTTAATCTTAGAAAAACACTGGAAAAAAAAAAAGGCAGGGAATGTAGTATGCAGTGTGAAAGAATGGCGCTGGCCACTTGTGGTTTTAGCAGCTGCAGAGAAAACTGGCTGAGGCTAAGGTTACATACTTCTGTTCAGTAAGGGTATCCATGGTGATAACTCTCATGATGACGGTAGTCATCCTGGTAACCATCCTGGTATCCTTGGTGGTAACTATGGTAACCATAGCCTGCATACTCATCTTCTGGGCAGCGCATCCCCAGTGACTGCTGTATCGCCATTTCCTGTCTCCGAAGTTGCATCGAATCAATTAAATCGTACACAATCACCATGGACCACATTGGGGAAGGATACCAGGATTTGACATTTCCGTCTTTTCCAACTAGAAGCATGGAGAAGTACTCCGGGCTCACTTGAAAATAGTTACGAATGTCTTTCACCAGATGGGCTGGTACATCTTCTCGCTCAACAACAGAGCTCCCTAGAATAGCATTGGAATAGCTGTTAGTGGATTAAAGAGTCAAAGCCCATGAAAACACTAAAATGAGAAGAAATCACTGTGAGAATAGGGAGGACCCATGAGCCTGTTCTCTCTAGTTCAAAATCCAATTAAAGAAGTTTGCTGGGGCTTTTTCTACTAGAAATTATATGTCCTTGTTGTTCTGCAACATGATTAGTATCAAACTTTGGGGCACATAGTGTGTCTTTTGTAGGAATGTTACAAAATATACAACCAATTCCTTAATTTAATCCTGGCAAGATTAATTTTTCTTTAAAATTTGTCACTAACAAGGATTATAAAGTTTTAAATTCTAAATTTATTTCCAATTAGTTTAGTTACTTCTCTGTAACCAAAGCTTTCCTTTTGACACACCTTTATAATAAAAAGCTTATTTCATTGTCAAAAGTGAACATATCAATTGTGTTAAGATCTAGATGTATATTTAAACTATTGTGGATAGTGAAAAGAATAAAGGGGAAAAGAGAAGGAGCTGATACTGTCACATCTGCTGTGTCTGGCACTGTGCCAAGTATTTTACACATTATTTTATTTAAAAAGCTTGGTCTTGGAAGAGGAGACTGTATTTGCTTTCTGAAACCTTCAGTCCACAGTCATTTTCTTTTCTTTTTCTTTTCTCTTTATTTTTTTTATTTTTGAGATGGATTCTTGTTCTGTCGCCCAGGATGGAGAGCTACAGTGGTGTGATCTTGGCTCACCAGAACCTCTCCCTCCCAGGTACAAGTGATTCTCCTGCCTCAGGCTCCCTAGTAGCTGGGATTACAGGCCCATGCCAGCACACCTGGCTAATTTTTGTATTTTTAACAGAGGCGGGCTTTCACCATGTTGGCCAGGCTGGTCTCGAACTCCTGACCTCAAGTGTTCCACCTGCCTTAGCCTCCCAAAGTGCTGGAATTACAGGCATGGGCCACCACACCCAGCCTAATAGTCATTTTCTTTCAGCTTCTCTGAGCCTTTAAGTGCATGCCCTTATCTGTTGAAAGAGAATCAATGAGCTATGACCTATGTGCCTCATAAAACTATTGTGAGAATTAAATGATATAATATAGAAGAAAATGCTTTGTAAACTATATGGACCTCAAAAATCATTATGTTAGTTAAGAAAAATGGATATCTTTACTGTTACTTTGAATGGTTTTATATTAAAAAATAATATTAGTTCTTGTACTCCACACCCCTTCCCCTACGTATCCCCATGCACACACATGCACACATGCACACATGCATGAGGTGGGAGGAAGATTCAATGAACTTTGTTCACTTAGAGGTACGCCCCTGCTGGCATTTAACATAATGTAATTTAACTGAACTTAACACTAGTTCATACTGTTTCAAGAAAACAACACATTACCATTAATTGGGAACAGTTCTAACACTCCCCCAACTTCCTCTCCAATGCCTAAAAGCTTCAGAATGGTTATGTGGCGCAGACCTGAGAGAAAAAAGAAAACCGTAGAATTAGAGGAAAGGATTAGAAGTCATCTTTTACTTCAAAGCCCTGATATCTGACAATTAAAAATCTCTTAAATTTAAAAAGAATACAGAGCATAGCCTGATTGAGAAGAATAATCTATTTTAAATTTTTACCATAAGGAAGTAAATACTTTTTAAAACCTTGAAGAAGACCAACTATGATTCTCATTCTACTAAATTACAAAAAAAAAAAAATGAAGCCATTGGAACATTAAAATATCTGAGCTGATCTAGTGTTCTGAATTTATAACAGCTTTTATAGATCACTTTCAGAGAGAAGACTACAGATTTGACCAATGGTGATGGTTAAAGAAATTGTTTGCTTCCTCACACAAAACTGTTGGCTTAAAGGATAGGTTTTTAATCACTAAATTAGAGGACTCAAAGAAAAAACATGTAGGCAAGCACAGCTTGCTTTCCTGTCCTCTGCTAAAGTTTCAGGACAGGAGGGAAGGTCATGCCTTGGTAGCTTGTTGGAATTCTTTTGAAGACGAAGTGCACATGAGGAGATTCCAGAAAAAGAAAATAGGAAGACAAAGGGACTGTCAAGCCATCATATGAAGCTTTTATAGTTTCAAATAAAATCCCAGCCTAGTCAGGGTAATAACCTGGAACTAATTATAAGGTAGTTGGTGCTGTTTATTGTCCAGGAGAGAAAATTGAACACTGCCATGGGAGGGCTCTTCTAAGGAGAAGCTAAAATCCAGGCAAAATGTTACTCAAAAAAAATTTTTTTTCACCTTTACTTTTTTACCAGAGAAGTGAAATATTCTGTTCTACATATCAGTTAGTCACGTTTTCAGAAGGGAAGATCATGAATTTAATTATTCATTGATTAATATATATGAATATGACTTGTTCACATTGCTTTCACCAATGTGACATAGGCTCTGTGTGCAGAGATTTAAAAATAAAGTACCACCAAATGGCTGCTGCAAAAGCATCTTTGGAAAATTAACAACCTTGGTTTTATTTATATTTTTCTTGTAAAGGTTCTTAACTGCTGTAAGAACTTCTACCTTAACTGGCAACATTGGTGCCTGTAAATAATTTAAAGTGTGCTTAAGAATACTGGCACAATCAAATCTGTATGTTAATATAAAGTCTTAAATTATTAACCTTGATAATAGGAGTATAAACAAAAAATTCTGAATTTTCTATTGTTTTTACCATTATGAGCTTGGTTTTGGCCTTCCTTGAGTTGTTTCATATCTTAAAATTAAATTGTACTTATAATTTACACATACTGGATCATCACAAGGACCTTGACTGTGTTAATGCTTTTCAAAACTTACACTTCTCCCCCTTTTAAAAAAAAATCAAGTGTATTTTCTAACTAAGAGATAATTCTTCCTCCCAGTAGAGCATCAAAATAATGATGATTCATGTGTTCCATGGAGAATTTTTTAATCTGTTGTCCTTAGCTACTTCCCCCTGCCCCTGCCCAGTGAATCTCTCAAAATTCTCCTTCTGCAGAGGCATATCTCTCATGAGATTTCACTTATGACTTCTACTTTTGAACTTGTAGTCATCTCTTGATTCATCAATTAACTTAGTAGTAAGTTCTATTAATTATTCATTTTACTACTGCCTAAATATCCAGATCCAAAATGATATTAGCTCTTTTAGGACACTAGAATAAAAATGTTTGGTAAATAAAGCATCTATTAGTTTTCAAAATACTGAGCGATTCACTACAAGGAAAAAAATAAACTATGTTTTCCTTTGGCCTGCTTGTCTTAAAAATAAGGTCGTATTTAAGAGATCTTGCTACTTTCTTAGTGCTCAGCTATAGATAAAAATCCTTTTAAGGTTTTTAAAAATATACTTTAAGTTCTGGGGTACATGTGCAAAATGTACAAGTTTGTTACATAGGTATACACATGCCATGGTGGTTTGCTGCATCCATCACCCTGTCGTCTACATTAGGTATTTCTCCTAATGATAAAAAAAAAAATTCTTTCACTAGGTCTTCTGAGTTTTGAAGATAAAAATCCTTTTTAAGAGAAGGTCAATATAGTCTGCTTCAATTAATATATTAATTCCCAGAGCCATTCCTATTTTAAAAAGATACTTAGTCTATGGAGTATCCAATGATGGTATGTAAGCAGATATTCAAGTATTACCTAAGTGAATGATAATACCTACATGAGACAAAACAAAAAAAAACATAAGAAATAATACAGGTCATTAAAAGTAAATCGGCAGATATTCTCAAACACATGAAAGAAGAAGAACTGAAGAAGAGAGAATATTGAAGGAAATAAAAAAAAGTCCACAGTCGACTAAAGCTCCAGTCTGAAAGCAACGTTATACTCAACATAATAGAGTATGTGTCTGGAAACCTACAGTCTGAACTGGGAATCATTTTGATGATCTAAGGTTCTCTGTTCCATGTTAGAATTGACTGGGAGGAGAGTGGTATGGGAAAGCAGTAATGAGGTGGCTTCCCACTCACCAAAATTGCATGCCTGACCACTGAGGGCAGAAAGTTGCTGTGAATAGGCCCAGTCTTCATCATTAGGAGCAGAAATCACCAGCAACCGCCTCCTCCACCGGAACCTGGAAAAAAGGCAGAAGGACACCATTACTGCTTACTAATTTAAACAATAGAAACCAGTGTAGGAAACCAGAGTGATCTGGGCTATCAGTTTTTTTTTTCTGTGCTCAGAAAAACAAAACACTGACTCTTAGAATTGTCCCATAGCTTCTCAAAGCCATGAAACTGCATTACCACACTCCTGTTTTTCCATTGTCACTTCAGTCTTTCTGCTTTGCCATTTGCATGACGTGGCAAGCATGAGTCTGTGGTCACCATGACTAATGAGGTCACTTGGGGAGAGACAAAGCTCTCAGATGCAATGAAGACGGGCCAAAATTGTACATTTAACTGTAGCAACAGAAATGAGAAACTCAGAAGATAACTGAAAAGAACTGGTCTTAGAAGAGTTCCTGGTAGAGTTTGGAGGGGGTTAAGAAATGAATATATGGATAGGAAATAGAGTAGAAAAATAAAACTGAATTTTAAGTAGATTACAGTGATAGAAAAAAGAAAAATGGGAAAGTGATTTAAAGGTTCAAAGAGGATTCCTGGAAAAACAAAACCCTATGTACCCTCCTCCGTCACCTCAGGTTCTTCCAGAGGCAAATGCAATTCTAAAATGTACCCTATTATTAATAAGAGCCAGTGCTAACAAAGTACTTCTATGAAGTGGAATGATATTAAACCCAGAAACCATAGGATTTTAGAATATATAGTAAACTCGGTTTCTGCTTTTACAGTTCCAACACAGTAGAGTAGTAGAAAAAGCTTTTGAATTTTGAGGGGTGTTGACCATGTCACTCAATTCACCAAAGTGTCAGTTTTTCCTTACTTCTAAAATAAAAAATAGCAGTATGTTATTCACAGGCAAGAATTAAACTCTAAACCTATCAATGCAAGTTATCCACATGATGACCTGGATATAGAATATCATGTCTTAACCTGCAGGCTTCTAGATGTAGAACTTTATCTATTAACAGACACTGATATTATCTATCACAGCACTGTGAAATAACCTATTCAGTCCTTAGCTTTCTGTATCATTTTATAGCTGACTTTCAACAATGCAATATGGTTCTTCATTAGAGGTTAGTGAGGCTGCAGGTTATTTTCCCCATTATGCAGATAGCAAAACCAGACTTAGAGAAGTGAATGATTTGCCCAACTAGTAAATCTAAGAGACATTACCAAAATACAGATTCTCTGACTCATGGTCAGGTGGTCTCCCTGATCTCCCACCCTCAGAGACACTGATACTTTGGCTGGTGCTATCAGTGTCTGCAAGAGGGTATAAAAGAGAGAGGGGATGCATCTCAGGGGTGACTGTTTACAGTTGTCTCAACTTCCATCTTCACTGGAGTTTCGCTTTTTGCCTTCAGTGCAGGTGACCACAGGTTGTTAGTACATTCAGAGCTGACAGCCAGTTAATTTTATTCATGGCGTTGCTCCCTGGGCCCCTTCTAGCATCAGGAGTGAACATGAGAGTTTTCAACTGCAAAGAAAATGGCATCTTGAGGGAATAGTGGTTTGGGTGAATGAGAGAAAATGATAGTTTGATGAAATATAACCTCTGAATGGACGCCTGTTGCAAGTCTCGCCAAGTATTGCTTGCTGTGACATTACATTCACTTCCTCTGCTTGTTGTTTTTTAAAGGGAAAGAAAAACTAAAATCTCTACTGAGGATAGGGAGAGGAATGTGTTTGGCACAGAGGGGAAGAGAGGAGTCTCTGAGACTGTCCAGGGCTTCTTAGGAAAGGGAACAGTGACTACTGTCAGATCACAAACATGACAGTTTCTGGTACTTCTGCTTCCTTAGGAGGCATGCCAGACCAGCACTGGCCCCCTATCCAGCATGCAAACCAGACCAGCCTTCCTGGCCTCACACTGAGCTGTAGGGTGTCCTGGAAGGAGCTATTTTAGGTGAGGTCTTTTTGGTTTGTTTACCTATGTGCACCACTGAGTGCAGTCCTGATTGGAGAGGGATGGGATCTCAGACTCTCTGTCCCAGACACAACTAAGAGAAGGTCATTTCCCCTAAGTAATGATTCATCTTCCCACAGACCTTCACATTAAGTTGCAATGTCCCAGCTCGTGACGCTGAAGGAAATAACTTCCAAAAGATATAACAAGAGTTGTGAAACTGACCCAGACCCTTGTTTTAGACAAATTGTTTTTCTGTCACTTTAACCTCCCACTAAATAAAAACTTTACAAGCTATGAATGTGTTTGCTTCTCTTAACTGGCATGCCCAAATTAGTATGCATTTGCCCACTCTTGGGGCTTCTGTCTCAGGGAGAGGTGATTATACCCTGAACCAAATGAGCGCTGCTAGAAGACTAGACTGGCTTCAGGGTCTGGTCAGCTGAAACTAGCCTGTGTAATCCCACCAACCACTCAGCACACTTGAAGGAAAATTCCCATTTGGATACCGGTTTAATCACAGAGCTGTACTTTTTCTTTTTTATTTCTCTTTGCCTGGGTTTCAACTCTGGAGTATTTACTAAATCTCTTTCTGTTAACTCTTCCTTTATGGAAAAGTTCTCTGTAGGCCCAGAATAACTGACCCTAGGGACGACTAATAAGTAGCTTTTATTGAGTACTTGTTTTGTACTAGGTCCTGGGTCATCATTATTTTTAGTATTGAATGTACCCTTCACAATAGTCTTAAATAAAAGTACGCTTATTATTTTCATTTTACAAATGAGAAAACTGAAGCCCAGAGTGGTTAAGTAATTAGCTCAGGGTCACACAGTTAGTAAATGGAGTAACCTAGAATCAAATTCATTTTGTCTCACTCATGCCTTTAAGTACTACACTATTCCACTTTAATCCTTCAAATCAACTGTAATTATCAGCAGAATGATCTTATGAGTGGTGACCACAAGTCAGGCACAGCCATGGGACATCCAAATTGTAATTATATGTATCTCTGAATATCCGTAAAAGATATATATTCCTGTAATGGTAATTAATAATATAAGAGCCCATAAAACTCTTACATTAGATGGGAAATGCATTTACATATCTTAGGACCCTGTCTAGTTCAAAAGACTTTAGATGTATATTTGTACATTTCTTAAGACTCAAAGAAATATAAAAGTTAAGTAATCAACCCACAGGAGTATTACAAGAGTTTGTGAGTGAAAAAAAATTGAGATAATAACAGCTTTCCCTTTCAAATTTGAAACCCATAACATAGTGTTTATAAAAAGACACTCTACCTAGGGATGGTGAGAAGAATCTCTGAGGATGTCTGTGACTGCCAGACTAACGACTGGCTCAAATCTCTGGTTTTAAGTAACATCCATGAACTGGATGATAACTGTCTTCTTTATAGGGTGAGCAACCTGAGTTTACTGGGATAGATCACTAGCCCTGGAAGATACAGAATTAAGAAGAAAAAGTTTCCAAAGACTCAAAATCATAGTAATATAGTAATAGTAATTATATGTATATATATATATATATATATATATATATATATATATGTTTGTATATAGGCATATATATATATATACACACACACATATATGTATAATTTATATTATTGTGAAGCTTAAGAGAATTTGGCCTAATAAAATGACAACTTGAAACTCCAAATTAGAACGTGTAATTAAGTCATCAGTTTAGATGTGTGGCTAAGTTGAAATCTTACTAAATGTATGCAGTTTTTGGAACATCTAAGAAAACATTAGATTGACTGTATTTATAAGATTAACTTATTAAACTTACAGATATTTAAGTACTCAAAGATTTTGCTTAATTTCAAATAATTGAAAAAATGTATTAAATGTATAATGCCTTTATGAAATGATGAAGTTGATCAATTACTGGGTTTGTAAGCAAGATCAAACATTATTCAAGACCTTCTTAAAAGTGATGGCAAAAATTTGCTAGTTTATAAATAGAAAAATAAAATTTAGAAGCCTAATTCAAAAGTTTGGGAACTGAAGTCTTGAATTTATAACTTAGAATATATTTACCACTGTTAAAATAAAAAATAAACTCCTAAAGAAGTTCTAGCTTGAAAAGAAAAAAGAAAAGCATCTAAAGAATTTAACGGGGGGAGGACTCAAGATGGTGCTGTGAGAACAACCCAGGATTGGAGCTCTCGTTGAATCTGCAAACGGTGAGTCTGAGCTGCATTTCCAGACTGATCTTTGTTGCCCACAGAACGGGGAAACTCCCAAGTATAAAAAAGACACAGGACGCCAGGCAGTAGGTCTGCCTGGCGAAGCCGGCAGCCGGGGCAGCGGCGGCCGGCCCTACCCAGCAATCCCCACAGGGCGCGCTTGTCCGGGTGCCCTGTTGAACCGGCAACCTGACACTTGAGAGGGCTGGACTTGAGACTGAACGAGACTTGGACAGTAGGTCAGCCCAGGGGATTGCAGGGACAGATCGTTTGGGATACCCAGTGGGACGAACAAAACCGCGATTTCAAACTATCCCAAGCAGACGGTCCGAGACGCTCTGTAGGGGAGGGGCGTCCACCACTACCGAGGCAACCCGCCCCAACTGAGATACACGCCCACTGCTGACGCAGCCAGCCTTTGCCGAGGCAACCTGTCCCTACTGAGATACACGCCCACTGCTGACGCAGCCTGCCGTTGCTGAGGCAACACGCTACAATGAAGAGACTCCGCCGCAGGGCATGGTGGAGACCACAGCAGAGCCTGCAGGAACAGGGCGAATCACACAACAGCAGGGCGGAGCCTCAGCAGCCAAACAGTGGCTAGTCTGCCTTCTAGCTGGGCAGGACACATAATCAGACATCGAAAAATAAAGCCCGAACCCCCCCAACATAGAGCATTTGAGAAAAAAAGGGTTTTTTTTTTAATGAGCTCTGTTGCAGCAGAATCAAACATAGCAGCCTAACAGCCCTGAATGAACAACAGAGCTCACAGCTCAGCAATTGAGCTCCAAAAAAGTACACAGACTGTCTCCTCAAACAGCTCCCTGACCCCTCTATATCCAAAAGACTGACATTTGGCAGGCATCATCCTGGGACAAAGATAGCAG